CTTTAAAGTTGTTCAAAACTGTCGTTCTTACAACTGGTAACAAAGCCAGGAATGAACGATACACCGGTCAGAGATAGGCAAAGAAATATAGGACATTAATATTCTTTGGAAAATAGCATTGAATTGCAAACTTTGGAACTGGCTAGATAAGCTGCCATCACTAAAATTACTTCCTTTTTTCTACTCATTAACCAGTCCAAACCGGATGCTAAGGTAACACCGGGTGCTTGCTTCACACTGTCGCTATTACTTCTGTTACTTCCAGTGATTATTTCACTCGAAAATATCACGCGAGGGATGAACATGCCGAACTATTAAATGTTGACGGTTCCATGCTGTACCACAAACCTCGTTTGGAATAAAGCTGTTATTATCGTTGTTGTACTGTTGTTAGTCAGGAGTTTACGGATATCCACCAACTAGGTAGAACTCTGTGTTACTGAATCGGGCATTGAGATAGTACAGCACACACTATACTGCTCACAAAAGATACCTTTCTGGGACAAGACAAAATTCATGCGGCGGTACTGCGTAAAGGAACACCGATACTGACTAAACCTTTGAGCGGGTTATTTAAGGGTTTTCTAAGTCAAAGGGGTGTCAAATTCTGGGAAGTTGGGTCTTATAACGCCAATCTTCAAGTGAGGTCATCGGCGGAACTTGAGGATATACAGACCAGCAGCGAAGGAATGGAATTTTTGATGAACTGAGGTACCACCGTGGGACGATTAACTTCCTTACCCCCCAACGACGCTGATCTGGAAAAAGGCACTCCTCTGTTACTAATCCGCTCATCCCAATTGATGGATGGACTGACACTGTCGACAGCCGAGGTCAAACTGGCGTCCCTTATTTAGACTTTGCCAGGACGCTTGATCATATTGGTCACTACTGCCTTATTGACAGACTAAAATTAATCGGGATCAGGCCACTGCTCATTAACTGCCTGCCCCCAAAAACATGAGGTCGTTTATATAGATAGTAAATGGGTTTCCTCATGTCTGAAGAAGCAGAATCCCCTAGTTGAGTGTCCTAGGGTTCACTATTTGGACCGCTTCGTTTTATAACATACATAGACGACTTGCCTAAGCTGGTTTCTTCCGAAGTCCTTCTTATTTCCGGTGACGCGAAACTATGGAGAGAAATCAAAGGCGGGGAAGACAGTGTTCGTTTACAAGGAGACTAAAATCAACTTCAAACCGCGAAGCCAATGGTGGGCTCGCATTTATTCTTGACGGAGAAGCATTTGATAGTTTTAGTCCCTCAATATTCAATATCATATGCCAACTGCGCACAACAAAATCTGTTCGAGGTCTAAAACGCATGAAAAACGACCGGTTGCAATGGGTCTATATCCCCTGGAACATAGAAGAGTGAGTGGAGACTTGATAATGGCCTACAACATCCTCAGCACTCCTGTACATCCACTCAACTCATTGAGCCTTGAGTGTAACACAACTAGAGAACATATACAGAAACTAAACCCAGAATACAACAGGTTGGGTTTCAGTCACAACTTCTATTCCCTAGGAGTTTTTAAACCCTGAAATGCTCTTCCCACAGATGCAGCCTTGGCCGCTTCGCCTTAATGCTTTGCACATCGGCTTGATACCCGCTTCAGATGTGGGCGGAATCTGCCCATAAATGATTGAATCTTCACGTTTTAGCAGACACATTTTGATCTCTATTCGTGTGCGGGTTAACAAACAGTAGTAGTGACTCATGGATTGTAGACGTGGAAACTAGCTAAGCGAAGGCTTCTTTTATTCCGCCAACAGCCATTTTAACTATTCCTCTCGACGTATAGGGATATTTTTTATAACGAAACATCACTTCAACTTCACTAAGTTTCGAACTCACAGCTTTCATTCTCCTTCATTAACTTTTGAATGCCCGTGACATAGTGGTTGTGCAACTGTTTAGTAGATGGTTTCCACCTTCGAAACCAGGTCAGCATTTGATCAGGACGCGCTTTTTAAACTTCTAATTGTAGCCTAAACATGTATCTGACTCGCTTGGTACAGTCCCCCACTAGTGGGTTCGTGAGGACCCTAAGACGATACCAGCCGGAAGCAAAAACCCAGCGGTTTCATCACTGGTAAAACTCTCTCGATGGGCTCACTGCGTGAAGTGGCTCCTGGTTGTCTTAAATTATTCTAGGGTGTTGTGGCAAAGGAAAAATGAAATACAGTAGATCGAATTGTACGTCGATCGCGGTCTTCAGTTCCCTTCGACGTTCCGTCCAGTGCTCGTTGAACCTGGAATGTGAATAAGAGTCTTTAATACTACGAAAACCTTGCGTAAAAACGGGAATTGTTCACATATAAATGTATCGAAAATAAAGCTTACGCTTATTTTCACCTTTTTTGAAAAGTTTCGTTATATGGTAATGAAAAATTGACACAAAGAGGCAAAATGTACGAGGGTTTTCGCATTGCCGGTGGATAAGAAAAATGGTGCCCCGAAAAGAAATTGAATTAGTCAAAAAATATGGTTGGCACACCTTATTTCACACCACTAAGTTGAATACGACTTCAAGTACTCCGAGAACCTGACGGCTCAACCTGGTTGAGTTTTCTGTTGCGCCGATGGTTGTTGTAACTGTGCATTACCAGGGACATCGTCAAGAGTTTCGATAATTGGGCTATCCACCGGTGTTGTTTTGGCGTTAAGCCTTCGGTAATAACCGGTTGGACGCCAGTCTTTGCCATCATTTTTTGGAACCATATGCAGTGGTGATGCCCAAGGGCTGTTTGACGGTTTGATTATGCCCGGTTCGAGCATGCAGTCGAATTCACTCTTCGCCATTTTTAGCTTACCTGGGTCTACACGCCGTGCTTTGGATGCCACAGGTGGACCTGTGGTTGTGACGTGATGAATAACATTGCTGGTTGTGCACGGAAGAGTGTGCTTTGGTTGTCGCAACCCTGAATATTTCTCCAAAACCGCTTGGTGGGACGCGTCGCCTGACTGTTTGGTTCTAACGATGGCTAAACTCGGACCTACATAGGTGGTGCCGCCAACAGATAACTTTATGTTGTTATCTATCAGACGTCGACGATGAGCATCTACGAGTAAATCATAATGGTTTGATAAATCTATGCCAATGATGGGCATAGGAACGTCAGCCAGGGGGAAGATCCAGTCAACAGGTTTACGTAGGCTCAAGTTGAGGTAGGCATGCTGTCTCCCGAATGTCGCGATTGCCTTGCGATTAGCCGCTTGGAGATTGAAGGATGGGTCATGATGACGTTCCTTTGTCGGTGCGGAAAGAGCGCCAACCTCTGCACTGGTGTTGACGAGGTAGCGAACTTTCGTTTTTATATCCGTGACGTAGAGAAGACGGGGGTTTCCACCGGCTGCGGTTGCCGTAAACACGTGCCGGCGTGGCCATCCCCCGAGTTTGTCTTTGTTAAAATCGTATGGCTTCCGGCACTTCCCGGCTTCGTCTCCGTAGGTATTGTGAAATCAACACCATTTAGGGTTTCCCACCCTGCTAGGTCTACTTTTCGAACAACCACGCGAGCTGCTGCGATGCCCTAAGCTGCGTTTTTGTGAGGTGCTACGTGAACCAGGACTTTGAGCCCGTAGCAACTGTTTAACAGGGTTGCACAGCTTCGTCAACTCTGAATCCTGGCCCTCTGGTTCGTCGCAGGCAGAATTTATACTGGAGACTGGTCTGCTAGAAATCTCCAGTATTTTGTCTGCCGAGGCTGCCAGGTCATCGAGTGGAACTGACTGCAGTGTCACTAACACGGTTTGCACCGGTTGTGGTAGTTTTGAGAGAAATAGTTCTCGGAAAAGGCCATCGTCGAATGTTCGTGCACCGATAACTTCTCGCATGCGTGCAAGGACTTCAGTAGCTGAGTGGCTGCCTAACTCGATGTTACGAAGCAGTTCCTCTAGGCGCTGGCGATCTGTGAGATCACTTTCTTCAACAGTGCGGCCTTGAGAGGTGCATAAGGATCACTTACTTCGGGATCAGACATGTGTGCCGTAACATGCCAGTTTAATTCCCGCGGTAGTGAACGTATGACGGCAAGAAGTCGAGAATGAGGATCTGCGACTCCCTGTTCTCGAAAATCTGTCTCGGCATACAGAAACCATGTTTCTGCATTGTCTGGCCAATATGGCACCAGTTGGATAGTGTTCGTAGTTGGCTTAATGCGGATGAGCTCGGAAGTACAGTCGGACATCAGAAAGAGTTGTATGTGGATATATGATGGTTATCAAGATGAAAGCAATATACAAATATAAAATGGGACAGGCTCATCAATTCAATATTTGCTACTGGTCGGGATATATGATCACGTCAGGCTCACCAATTTAGGAATTGTCCTGGTGCGAACTTGACAGACACAAAGGCCAATCACTAATTATTCGAACCTGTTATGTACTCACGAATACGAGACCAAGGAGGAACACGATAGCGTAGTCGGATGGAATAGGATATTTGGGTGGTTGTGCCAAGATACCAATGCGTTCCAACTAACTGGCTAGAGAGTCGATTACGAGCAGTGCAATGTAACACGACAGCGTGCCAACTAGCGAGGATGCTTGACCAGGTGCCTGCAGCTTAGCGGGTCCTGTTAAACTATCAAGGTCAGTATTAATGTTGAATGTCGTCGAACCCCAGGCTATTGATTTTGGGGAGGTGTGTGACGCTGCAGCTACATGAAACGAAGTTTATTGAGTATTCTGAAATTTGGAGTCCGGCGATGGTCTATTGTAGACTTCGGACCCAATGCACACAATTCAGGTACTTTGGGCACACTTACAAAACTTTGACTAACTCGGGATTACTGCTTCCACCTTGGATAGCGTCTGAAACTACCAATAACCTTGAAGATGTACGACAGACGCGTCCTGGTAACGGTTTTCCTAGGCCTGACTTCATTTTCATACAGACTTATTCCTTGTAGACGGTTCTATGCCTGAAGTGTGAATATATACTACTGGAATTAGAAGCGATCACTGTCAGCATTGAACCTGCTTTTAATACACCGAAAATACCAGCTGGTGAGCAACGTTTGTGTTTGCTGCATCTACCAGCTGTTGATAGGTTTTCGTCTAGACAGGTAAGTACCTTGTTGCAGGGGGCACGTAGGACAGTGTGAGTTTAATGGTGGTCATGAGAATCTGGAAGGGAATAGAGGAAGAGAATAAGTCTAGCCGATGACTCAGCAAGTACAGAGGATGTACTTATATCTAATTATAGATAATCGACAAACAGTAGAGCTTGAGAACGAAGAGCTGATGCGGTGTAGAAATGGAAACTAGAAGGTGAATGGATAAGATTCCGAATGCGTTACATACATATCGTAGTGGTGGACTTTTCTTGAGAGATGGAGGCAGATTCGAAAATAGAAAGCGGATGCTGGGTGAAGTCTAACGTTATCTCAAGGTGTTGTGTGAAAATACACATTTCCTGTGTTTTGTAAGCGTATGTTTTGAAGTAGGAGCTGCAGACGTAGATCCTTTTTGCTGCAATTTGAAGGGTCAGTTGACTCTGATCTGTGAGCACCATTCTTCATGAATAAATAACCTTCCAACTAAAAGACGAAAGTCCAACCAATACTTTGTGGATGAATAAACGGCATGAAACATGATTCAGTGGCAGAGGGCGTTTTTGAAACTATAAAAGTAGATAAAATAACCCTACAACATATAGAGAATGGGCTAGTTGATGTACCGAACTCATCCCATAGCAAGCACGATAACACATAGGGGTAACTCCCAGCCCCACAAAGCGTATGTGTGCTTTGTGGACAGACGTTGGGTTTCCTGTACTGATAACGTTTTTGCAACTGATGTACTCTATCCCGTCATCTGCTTGTCCATAAAGCTCATTCTGTTTGACTTCCTGTTATGTTCAGTTAGACGTGCCTGCCGTTCGTTTCACCGCAGTGTTACAATGTGTATAAACCGCGATAGTGAGTTGACGTTTTGCTAACGCTGTTTGGTGTTTAAGCAAGTTTTGACGGAATATTGACGACTTGGGAGTTCTGCAGAAGTGCACGAATCAGACTTCCTAACACTCCAGACTTCTCCCTAGGAAATTATTTACTCGTTATATAACAACACATTTGTCGTTGATAGTTGTGAATAAATTCCACAGAATTCTGAATTTTCCGAAGTGCCCGGGAATTTCACCAATTTTCTTAAGATGCCTCGCATGATTCAAGATTTTGATCAACTTTGTCGTTGCCGTTCGAGGTTAAATTTCGGGCTAGCTGACATCTGGGCATTCCCCTAAATTCTTCCTATCCTGAAATTCATTTCCATATGGAAATGCATGTTTTGTCAACGAAATAACGTTAGAAGAGATGGCATATCCCAGGCAATGTGAAAGGATACAGTTATTTTTCTTATTCTCCAGGCTCAGCACACACTAGTTACTTCTGAAGCTTTGGAATGGGATCAAGTATCGGGGTATTGTGTAGTGTACAACTCACTGACATGATCAGTTAGTCCACTCAAACTGATCAGCAATGGTCGTGAACCAGATCAATGTGATCTAAGCACCGGATAATCTTTCAGTTTGTTTGGCTCTGAGCTTTTCGTAAGTGTCTCCGGATTGATTCGGCCCACCTAACCCTAATTCCAGCTAGCTGCTCGAGCCTGATGGTTATTATTATTATTTGTCCCTTGGTTTCCGAGTGGAACATAGGGCTTCAGTAGCACGCCTCCATTTCACTCTGTTCTCTGCAGTCATTTGAACCTCGCACTACCCACAAGTCTTCATTTATTCCTCACGCCATCTCCATGTGACCCCGGACGCCCAATCCGTCGTTTCCCATGCGGGTTCCACTCGACGACCTGGCGTGGTGCATAATGTCTCCGAATAGTTTTTTCAGTGTATGTGCAATCTAGTCCATCTCCACTTTCTGCATATTTGTTGGGCGACGGGTTCTTGGTTGGTTTGTTGCCAGCCAGAGTTCCTTCTTGCTTATTCTTTCTGGCCATCTAATCTTCAGTATTGAGCGTAGGCAGCTATTGATGGATGTCTGTAGTCTGTTGGAAATGCTTTCCGTGACGCGTCAAGTTTCTGAACCATATACCAGCATTGACTTAATATTAGTGTTGAAAATCCGGATCTTGTTCTTTATGCTGAGTGTAGTGTAGTGAATGTAGAAAATTCATTCTGGAGGTCTTGCAGGAGTAGGTATAGCATCAAGTGCTAAGGGAGAAAGTGCACTACTCAACTGGATCATAGTTGACAGTCACCTGTGCGTTACACGACTGAACACAGTGACGACCAAACAAAAAAGTGAGCCGTTGTCTCTTTTTAATATCTGAGTTCAGTTAGGAAGGAGTGAAGCAGCCCTACTGAAAACTTTCTAGCCTCCCGGTGGAAGACAAGCGTTCAGATGTGGTAGTTATTGCAGGTGATTTCAATGCACAATTTCGTAGGCTAAGTCAGATAATAGCACTTTCAGAATTCCAGCTTAGAGAACAGATAACGCCGATCGTCTGCTACAGCTGTGGCGTTTGACTCAGCGTCTGCCGATGTGGCGGTTGGACTTGTATATCACAATAACCCAACGAGACATGCCAGTAGACCACCTCCCTCTGGGTCCTACCACGCCACCAGGGTCTGCTGGATAATATTAGACGCTAAGCAGTTACCGTGTAAATTACTACACTATAGTGGGTGTCTGAGGGCAAAGTTATACGGCTGCCAGGTGGATGGTGTGTGACAGTAGTAAGGTGTTTCTCTTGAGTGACCAGCAGTACTACGCTGTTGATGCTTTCTTAACGAGAAGGGGGAGGGATAGAATAGGTTAGCCGCAAAAATAGCACCTCCCTGCCCCACGGTCTTCCGATGCGGGTGGTATGGTTTGCCCCTATCCAGTGTTGGAACACCCAAACCTCAAAACAACATCCCGCAGAAGGCTATGTGTGACAGGTCTCAAGCAGATGTCTCTTGAGCTCCGCAGTCACATACTATCCCTTCTTTTTCAGGTACATCAAGAACTGGCTTTCCACGGTTTCAGCAACCAGGAAGTGTCAATCGCTCCCATGCTTCCAGTAGTACACAAGACCCAATCAAACAGAACACATCCCCTTCAACTCTGTCTCCTCATTTGCTTTCACCTAATATTGATATTAAACCCCTTACACCTTTCTCAACCTCTCATTCTGTAGCGATCGAAGCCATCAATTTAATGTAGGAGCTTTAAACGTCCAAATTCTGTGCCAAATCGAACAGAAAGCATCACTTGCCTGAACTCTGAAATCTGTACCCGTGGATGTATGCTGGGTCTCCGTGACACGTGTGCAGGACTCGAATGTGGTTATTAAATTGACCTCACCTAGCCATAGGGGTGAATCTTCAAAATTCACCTTGAATATCCGGAAACCTAGTGGCTAGCTCTCGTGGACTCGCTAGTGTAGGCCTAGCATTGAACTGTGAGGTAGAAAGTGCGCTCCTCAACTGGATACCGTTAAACAGCCGTCTGTGTACTATTTGACTGAATGAATCTGTAAGAACTAGGAAGGATTGCAAGACCAGTCGATGCCTATTCGTCATTTCCACCGACCTCAGTTCGGATGATGCAAAGGATAAATTCTATGCGAAGCTATCATTTTTTCTACGGAAAGCAGAACGATCAGATCCAGTTATAATTGCAGGTGGTGTTAACGCTCAAGTACGGAACCTAAGCCAATCGGAAAGGCATCTTGAGGACATTTACGAACGAACACGGGTGATCGTCTGTGGCTACTTCGTTCTGACGACCACTTGTTTCTGACCAGCACTGACTTTGAGCGAAAAGAGAGACAGTTCCACATAGTGTCCACCGACATCAAACCAAATATGGACACAGATAGATCACATTGTTGTAAGGCATCATTGGAGAGGGTCAATGGAGGATTGCCGCTCTTTCTGGAGTACCTGTTTAGGCTATGATCACGCGTTAGCACAGGTTTGTGTATATCTGCACTTTACAGGCCACAGGAAAAAGGCGATGGTAAAGCCGGATTGTTCTTGATTGGCAGACGAGAACGCCAAACACGTATTTAGGGAAGAGGTAGCTAAGCACTTATCCGAACGTGACAACAATGCTCATCCGGTGGAAACCTAGCGTGATATTAGATCCGCTGTAGAAGGAGTGGTAAACAGTTGGTAACCTACATCCGAAGGTTAGCAAACGTAATTGGATTTCCGCAACGTCATCCGAACTGGTTGATGCTAGAAGACTTATTCCAGCTAGCTTTGATCACGGTGAAGAACGAAAGCAACTTAAACGTAAATTGACCAAGAGTCTTCGCAATGATCGCGAGTAGTGGTGGGTAACGAGAAGGAGAGCGATGGAGATGACAGCAAGTATTTAGACTTATTAAAGATACTGGTAAGAAGAAGACGACGTTGAGTGAAACCATTACCTATAAGGATGGGACGCTGATAACGACTCATAACAGGTGGCTGGAACATTGGGCAGAACACCGAAGCACAGTGCAAGTGACCTACAGCATAACTACAGTTGCCCAACATCCAGCCTAAACCTGAATGGGACGTAGAAGTCGACCCCCCAACTCTCATTGAAGTTGAGAAAGCTGTATCGAACCTGAAACAATGTAAAGCAGTAGGACCCGACAGTCCATGTGAAGCTTTCAATGATGGAGGTAGGAAACTACTGATTAAACTGACGGAGGTATTAAGTAGTAGTGTATGGGAATCAGAGGTAGTGCTGTCAAACTGGTCTACTTCATCAGTCTAGTGTACTTCCCTGATCGTCCCAGTCTATTATAAGGGAGAGAAGTCTTCCTGGGACAACCAGAGGGGGCTTGGTTTGACAAATATTGTATCCATGACCCAAGTGGTCCGACGCGTAGGTCGAGCTCAGTAAGACGGGACAGGTTTCAAAACTGGTCGAGGGTGTATCAATCAGTTTTTCACACGCCGACAGGTCGTGCGAGATAGGCATACTTACTGGTGGCCAACACTTGCCATATTTCTCCAACTGAAGACGTCATTCCACCTTTAGACGTTTAAGCAGTCGGACCGTGAAGGAACTACCAAGGAAGTATATAACTCTAATGAAAGCTCTACTCAACCTCACACAGAGGTGTTAGGGTTTATGGAAAGTTGTCATGTGAATTGATGGCAACTAGTGCTGTTTGCCAGGGATGTCCACTTGCTTTTCTTATTTAACTTCGTCGTGTAATAATGGACGTAACCTTAGGTACGCCTAACTTCATAAGGATTGACCTACTCTTTGGAGGTCATATGTTTGACTCGAAGTATGCAGACGATATTCTCGTACTATGCGGATATGCTGACAAAATGCAGGGTCTTCTGGATGCGTTGAGCAAAAATCTGAGAACGTTTGGCGTGCGTTTCGCACCTGTTAAATGTAAGATGATGCTCCAGGACTGGTCTGCTGCAAGTACTTCCAGTTTAATGATGGGGAGTGAAGTAGTGGAATGTGTCCGACCACTTTACTTACTCGGAGAGTTGCATCACCCCGAATGGGATGGTTGCTGACGAAATCTCAGCTTCGTCAACTGAGATGGCTTGGACATGTACTACGCATGCCACCTACCTCAACTTGTCACGCCAGGGAATGTTTGTTTAGGTTGGAAGACGGCCAGGGTGTCCGTACCAACGCTTGGCACTAGATGATATAGTCTATGACTGCTAGTCAGCCTTGTGTAGCGGTGTAGACTACCTGGCTGGGGTCGTCGAGATGATAGGAATGAGTGTTTGAAGGTGCTTGGTGATATGATTGAAAATCGATCACAATGGCACAGCTATGTTCACAGACGTATTCTAAAGCTTGAATATTCCCAACGTTTATCTTCAAATTATTTCTCCTTCCATACACTTTTGTCTCTTTCTATCCACTTGTTGTTTGTATGCTACTGTGAATTGTAGTAAATTGAACTGATGCACTTGTGTATGAGGTTCTACTTTGATTCTCTCAATCATTCTTGTATGTTTATCCTTCTGAGACCTGTTCGCTTCAAAATATTAAAACGAAAATTTGACGTGATAAATAAGACTGTCCCACTTTTCAATTAGTTCAGTACTGGAAGTTATCCAGGTAGGTGACTTCAAAAGGTATATCCAGTGTGCTGTCTATTATTATAGTATGATCACATCTCTTGAAAAGCATAAAAACAAGTAATTTAAGAGTTATTTAGTAAAGTGTGAAACAGTGAGTTATTGATAAATACGGCTACATCAGTGAAGCTGTTTTTTTAAACATTTCGCATTTGTAAATGCTGTCTTCTGTTCTAGAAACAATGTTCACTTATTCCAATAATTACTCGCGAGATCGATAGCGTTGTAGCCGAGTATATTTATGGCTTCATACATTTCCTACTCTATATTATAATCCAAAGTGGTCAGCAGTTTTACGTGCTAAGCGCTTATTGTAACCTCCTCAATCCATTTGCTGGAATTTCACCATTGAAATGTATGCGTAACAACTTTATTGCTCGTGATTTCTTAGTTGTGCCAAATATAAACGGTACTTGCAAAGCACTGGTAGTCGGTGTTATGGATTTCTCTTTTTATATGTAATAGGTAAATTATAAGGGAGGATATATGCATAAGCTGCACTTGCTCTGTGCCTGAGTCATCATGAATGGGCAGGTAATAAAGGTGGTGCACCAACTGTCGTAAGTGATTATCATCCTAGCTCTCTGTATTCTTGTTGGGGATGAATACTAGAAATACATTCGACACATAAAATAAGTATTCACTTCAAGATTTTAAATGTGATCAGTATCTCACAGGTGCAAGTCTTTCCCAGATATCCCTCATGCTCCCTAAAAGTCATGTATACACCACACCCATAGTTGTTGTAGTTGAAAACATGAAGACAATATGAACATGATAACTGTCGGTCTGAGTAATGCGTATAATGATTAGTTATTACTATAATAAGACCACAAAAGGCTTTTTTCTACCCTCACTTTTATCTCATATTACTTCTGTTACTTTCGATGTTCGTGGTTGAAAAACTTGACGATGTTAGTTGGTTGGAGGCAATCAATGGGAAGCCCTGGTTGACCTAGGTTTCGTGCTTCTTGGCATTCGCCGACCAGGTGTAGCGTACCTACAACCTTAAAGGAACTGATGCCCCATGTAATATTGGAAACCACTGTCACCCAGTGTTGCAGTCAGTGACGTTTCCTCTGAGCACTAGCTATTCGAGCAGCGATTAACGTGCTACAGGACTGTAATAGCGACTGAAGAGCAACCAGTCGATGTACATTTTCACATTTTTGTCGACTTTTTTGGTGAAGCTGATTTGAATGGTATTACGGAAGGAGATAGCTGAATGCAAAACATAAAATTGTTATTCTTGAAGAAATTTATATTGTCTTCATATTTTGAAACTTAAGAGTTTAAGAATCCACTAATTGATTGGATTATCTTTTTTACTCTAGAAATGAACATGTCTGTTACAGAGACTGTCAAATCTATTTCATCAATTATTAAAAGAAATGTCGATCCGACAATGCTTTTTGATAAAGGTAAATAACATATGTGTCTAATGCTGATGAAAACAGGTGAATACATGGATGAAGTACTTTGGCAAGTTTTCTGCGTCTTGTATAATACACCGGGAACGAGCTTCAAGAAACTGCATTACATTAAGTTACTCATGATAACTGCTAGTCACTTAGGGTTCACGGGGAGTTTCACTCTGAGTAACCTTCGGGATAAAAGAGGACAAAAGAAATGGTTACCTTTCCTTTCTGCTTTAGTTTCGTGGTTTGAATTCACGGATATGGAAGCTCTTCGGGTAGGTGCAATTCTAATTTGTAGACTCATTTGCTAAGATAATTGATATCGCAAGAGAGAAAAAAAGAAAGCATACAGAGGTATTTAATCTGTTGGAATCTCGGGAGGGTGATTTGTGGAATTGTCGAGAAGCAGAACAAGAAAGACGTAAAGTGATTAGCGATCTTGAAATGAAAGTTTGGAAGCTCAAGTCTTGCTTCACTGAAAAGAATGCAAATATGTCATCTAAAGAAAATTTACTTCAGTTTCTAGTTTCTTCAGTAGAACAGAAAAAAGAGCAGGTATGTTTCATCACACGATATTTAAAAGCTTGATATTCATCTTTTTCACTCAGTGATAAGATGACTAACCAAGAATGGACAAAGTAAACACCTCTAAAATATTGGGTGATAATGCTACACCTAACCGTTTGAAGTTGTGGAAAGCATTTTATTTTAGGAATATGTATAGAAAGATAACCGTACACTTAAGTGATCAGTTAATTACTTATATCATTCTCGTCGAACTCTTCATATAAGTAAACTGTTCACTCAGAATATTGAGAATTGGGTAACCATGTCGATTTCAAATCAAGTTAATCGTGTGTTTGTATAAATGTTACAAACGTTTGTTCAGCGTTTGAAAGATGGATAAGATTTCATACGGGTTGGTTGTTGTGCAGTAATGTAAAGGGAATACTTATTTCAATATTCTGTTTGCTACTGTTACACTTCTTATAGATGTTTCGAGACTTTTTGACCACCCCAAAATATTACAGAGGCGTTTGACTTAGTCACCTTATCGTCCTACCAATGTAAGTTATTGTACAGGAAATGCTCAACCCACAAAAATTCACTAGTGAAAGCAGGTGAAATATTTCATCCGTATTATGGGTACAGTATGCAATTTTTCGCCCAGAAAGATTTCATTAAAAAGCTTTTTCGTCAACGTTCCATGAGTAGCACCTTTGTCAAAAATTTCTCAAAAGGATTTATTTTTAGAACATTAAGTAGGTAAAGCCCGTAATGTGCGTTCCTTATTTGTACGCCAAAATCATCATATCTTTTCTCAGTTTTATGTGAGGTGCTTTCAGCACAAAGGGTGTATGGCTTTGGTAGACGCATTAAGCACCTGGCAGGTTTGTGAAATAAAGCCATAGATCTGTTGAAGAGATTTCACTACCACCTTGGGTTAATTTTCACCTTAGCGAGCTGACATGAGGTTTGGAAATTGATCGTTGCCCACTGATGACAGATTTCATCCTAGTGTTGACTGTATTATGTAAACTAACGATTAGGAGTTGTTCAGCTGCATCGCTTCTATCACCGACTCCGATGACCACCTTAGTAACCACTAAAAGAATTATCTTTCTTCCCTTCACATAGAAACGCACCTTCCTCATAAAATACATACAAGGTTCTTCAGGCAAAACATTATGCTTTTTTCTAAAACATCAAGAAGACAAATAGTCCAATGGTAATATGCAATAGTTTCTATCTTTAGGGTCTCACTATAAAGACCACCCTGATAACAACCAAAATGGTCAATCAGGTCAATTCACTGCGTAGAAAAACCTTTCTAGATAAAATCGAGAAACTTGACTAATCATTTCAAAGGTCGTTAGGGTTGCTCATAGAGTTACTCGTAATTAGGTTATTTGTTGGTTGATTTCTAGCTCAGACTGATTATTTATGATTGGTCATCATAAATTCATATGCTTGTTAACATTTGTCACCGAAAGCCATTTTACAGTCTGTGTGTTACCGAAAATGTAGATGTATCGTTCGTTTTCGTGACATAAAAATATGAGAAGACATTTTTATTCCTGAAGGATGTATCCACCAAGTGTTTCTTATTTTGGTAAAGTTTCGTGTAAAATTACTACCATCTAAAGTCGGGATTTCCTAATGATATTAATAGTATGGTAAGTGATGTATATTGTTTTTAAGCAAATGGATTTATTTGGAGCAGCGTAGCTTCAATGTTTTTGTTGAATTAGTCTTTTAAATTGGTGATAAGTTTATTCCTTCATTTCTGCTTGCTACATACCTTTGCTGTCGCTACAACAATTTGGGCTTCTGATGTCAACCTTCCTTCTGAGTGAATGAAAACCCATTCCCAGTATGTCAACATTGTCAAAGTCAATTTTGTGCTTTCGGTGACAAATGTTAACAAGCATATGAATTTATGATGACCAATCATAAATAATCAATCTGAGCTAGAAATCAACCAACAAATAACCTAATTACGAGTAACTCTATGAGCAACCCTAACGACCTTTGAAATGATTAGTCAAGTTTCTCGATTTTATCTAGAAAGGTTTTTCTACGCAGTGAATTGACCTGATTGACCATTTTGGTTGTTATCAGGGTGGTCTTTATAGTGAGACCCTAAAGATAGAAACTATTGCATATTACCTACCACTGGACTATTTATTTTCACCATGTTTATGAAGAATCCACTTATTTGGATGTTTGTGCTCTGTCATACGCAGGGAAAAGTGCTGTGAAATGATGTTTCGTTACTGTAACCCCTTCGTTAAAGCACCCGACCGATTTTTATTCAGCGGTCAATCATCGTGCTGCGGTAATAATATAGTTCTGTCCATACACAGCTATCTCATATGGTTATTACGCACACGCTAGGCGTATACAAACATTTATGTTCATTATGTTGGGATATATTTCCGTTGTATTGTTTCCGATATTTTTGTAATGTTTGTTCACGTACATTTTTTGTACTGAAAGGTAAACGATGAACTGTTTTATATGCGTGTCTTTAGAATATCATAAGTGCTTCTTCTTGTTGTCTAGCAATATCGTTCTAACTAACGGTGGTTTTTGGGAAGTATGTCAGGTAGTAGCAGTTATCTAGTTTCTGTCTGTCTAATTGTAGGTAGTTTGTTTTAGATTCCAGTGGACATTCTAATACCTACCTATCTTAACAGGTTAGCATATTTGCTCATATGTTGTCATGTAAATTTAAATCACATCTTAATGTTTGTTTGGTTTTGTCGAAAAAACTGCATGTATTGACTCTAGTTAAGTCGGATTAACTCTTATTGCCTAGCTGTGAATAGTCGAATTAAGTTAAAACGCATTAATAATCAATATTTTCCCTTTATCTTCCCCCCTTTGATATCAGAAAGAATCTTTACAAAATCGACTTCAAGCTTTGAGCAAAGATTATGAAAATTTGCAGTCACTTCAACTAGATAATTGTGAAATGCTACCTGAATCAATAAAAGAAGTGAAAAGTCAACTTGATGCAGTTGAATCAGACATGTATATGATCTATGAAGCTTTCAACGGTATTGTGGATCGTATCACAACATTTCAAAACTATGAATATTTACTTAACTCAGAACTGAGACCGGCAATTGATCAAGTGTATAACCTTATGGATAAATTAGTGGCATTTAGTAAAGAGGAGAAAGTAAGATGCTGTGAAGTAATTTATTTCTATTCAATTCAAAAACTTCAAAGATGTATTTAAAACGATCAGATTGGGGAATAGTTAGTGTTTGTTCCTAGGAATCTAGTTGTATATTGATTTGACGATTTATAACTTCTTGCTTGGTTATCAGTTACCTTATTTTGGGAGGTACTTGCTTATTTTTCAGACATGCGAATATTAAGAGTTAGTATTCAACTTGTTTGTCTTCATTTTCATGCGAGGTTTCATGAACTATGTTTCTGGATATCATCCTGTCACGTTGATGAACCGTTCAAATGTTAAAGTGAACCAGAAATGGGACAGCGGAGTGAGATACTTAAAATCGTAGTCTAGTTATGAGACATCAGTCTACAATGTTACATTTGTTTTTAACTAGTTGTCTACAAAAATTACACGTTGAAATGATGTAAAAGTGTAGCTCCGGCTGAGAATGACAATGGTGTTTGCTTATCTCTGAGCTTGACCAAGTTCGGTGATGAATAGTCCACAGCAAAATACCAAAGCTCAGAAAACATGGAACCATTACCATTATACCCTTGTTACTGAAAGACGCATTTACACAAATCTGGTTATGATGTTGTGATTAAACTGTTCTAGTATAAAAGAACTGAACTGAGCGATTTGATAAAACTATATTTCTCGCTGGTTGTGAGCAATTTCGTAGTTAGTTTTTTTCCATGTACTCATTGTCTATGTAGGTCTACCAAAATATTCGCCATTCGGAAAATAAGTTACCAAGTAACTCATGTAGAAATATGTGGCTTTTTCTCGCTTATGTTTTAGTTATAAAAACACAGACTTTGTACTAGTGGTAGTAGTAGTAGTAGTGGTGTAGATTGTCAGACACTTTGGTGCTGCATCAGTAGTTCTGTGATGGGTAACGCTGCACTTTTCCCACGGAACATATCGTTTTCTTATTCAACTGTCCTTTTTAGGAACACCAAGCTGTGGTTGATGTCCTAACTGCAAACTTGAAGAATATGGAAGCTTCGTTAGATGAAAATAAACAACAATTGGTCGAATATGGATCACAGTTAATGCGAAAAAAAGTATTACTAAATACCAAGAAAAAGGTAAGTCATGCGTCAATTATGTATGTAATATTTCCTACCTAGAGAATTCTCAATCTACGTCAAGTAATCAAATAACACAATCTTGGATGAAGATGCTGATAAAATACAGGATCTTCGGAACTCTTTGGTGAAGATTCTGAGGTTGTTCGGCACATGTTTCACACCTATCCAACGTAAGATGATATTGTAGGGCTGGTCTACAATGCTGCTCAGTTTAATGATAGAGAGTGAAATGGTTGTGTGTTGATCACTATTCATTTGGACGTTGCATCAGCTTTAGGGAATTGAGTGCTGAAGAAATCTCCACACTCGCAAAAGGCTTGTTTAGTATCTATTTAGTTAAATCACCTTTAGCAGCATATTGAAACAGCTGGTGGCACTGCACCGTAAACTGTTCTCTCCTGTTCCATATCCGTGACTTATTACTTTCGAAAACTGAAGATAATGTGTGGGATAGGTTACAGACATTTGATCACAGTTGTCTTCGGAATGCTGTCAGTTTGTAGTAGTTGAACTAATACGTGATCAACTTTGGGATTAAGTGCATAGTTTATTCGTTAGGGTTCGGAACCTACCGAGGTTTGGACAGCCAGGTAATATCACTAGCCCTCACAATAGGTGTTGTTCATTGCCTGCTGTACGAATGTACACAAGGTTCCTCCCTCTTTCTGTCTCACGACCGACTTGATTGGGACGTGTTGCCCATTTTAACCCGCAATTTACTGCAACATATAATGTTAGCTGAAAAAAGATTTGAGTTTGAAATTAACGATAGCTTTATTATATGGTACCAGTCTGTGGAGTCACTGACTGTCGGTTTGAGCAGTATAGAATACTGTGCTATAGGTTATGCCATTGAGGTTTTCTATATTTCGATAACGTATTTACGCAATACGTTCCGAACAATCTGATCACATATTTACTTGTCAAGTTGATTTACATATGAAAATGAAAGGCCAAATATAGTGAATATAAAAAGGTTGTGATAGTATTCTTGGAAATATAATCAGATGAGGATTACCAAAGTAAATTAAGGAAAACAACAAATTGTTTTTGTGCACACAACGGGGGCTTAAGTTTCCGAATGGCTAAGGCTTCGGCAAATTTCAGTATGCGCCCCTGACTGTTCCTATATAATATCTTAAATTCTGTTTCGTATTAAACCGTATGATTCATTTCGATGATATATTTTGCTATAAATGAAGACGGATGTCTGTCACATGTACTTGTCAAAGTTTGTGTTAAACTGTTTTTCAAATGTATTGCGCAAATACATCACATTTTCCAGGTAATCTTCGTCTTCTAATAACGTTATCAAAATATATTAAAGGGACTAATTGTTTCAAGTTTTCTATATTATGGAAACCCTCAGCAACATAGACCAAAGTAGATCTTGGTGATACAGACATATCAACTCTTTCTAATTTTCGAAATGCTAACCATTCTATCTGTGCATATGTTCTCATTCTCTTCCTTTTTATGCTCTTTATCGTTTTATTTAACCTTGTGTTTATTAGTGTTTTGTCACTAAGTTGTTTCAAAACTGACAGGTTGGTCCGTTGCTTTATTGTCAGGTTCTGTTTTTTTATTTGCCTCTTTTTGATATTTGATATGGACATACCTCTGAGTTTAGCGTAGATTTTTACGTAATTCTAAGGTTTATTGTTAAGCCGAGGTATTAGTTGTTCTTATACGTGGTTTTGGAAATTGTTTGTCCTAAGCTGTGAAATAATGCAGTGGTCAGTTGACACAAATGTACTTGTGGTTGATTATACTTTAATGATTCCGTGAAAGAATTGTGGTAGCATATCACCACTGGGATTATGGACTCATTACTTTCAGACACATCTTCGCCTGGTAAATGTGTATTATCTTTCATATATTCACCTTTATTGTTTTTTTTCCTGTTTAGGCCCGTGAAGCTGACGCTGTTAAAAAAGCTGAGGAAAGCGATTCATTTGTGCGTGAGCGGCAATTTTTGAGAGCACGATTATGTGAAATTAAACGAAATAGCTCGGCCACCCTTGAACAAGAGAATTTAGAACAGCGGCAACTTGAAGCAGTAGGTTTAAACTTGTGCTCTAAAGTGTAAACTGTCTTCATCATTGCACAGCCGCTTGTTTACAGCTTTTACTGCAGTGTTGCTTGACAGAATTTTGATAGCTTCAAAAATCAGACCTATGAGATCTGACTCTATCTTTTGAGTCGATAAAATTCTGTACAACGATGTCATCTGTACATGTAGGTCGTGTTTAGAGTTCGGATACAAGTTTGATGATGATCAGTTAGCCACTTGTTTTGTGTAATGGTTAGTCTTGTCACCTGGCTACCAAATCGCTTGCAGGTGGAATGGGACTGATAATCGTGGTCGACTGTTTGAGGGTCAAACACGCAGACCAATTACCCACAGCTGCAATCTGGTTGTGAATGCATAGTTACCGCGTCATTTGCTTGTCTTCATTATTTACTTGACAGTTAAGTGACCCTTCCATCTTAGATCGATCACTTGTACAAGTCCAACTTCTTGTTTTTCTTAGAAAAGAGTTGCTACAATTAATGGGATAGTAGTAATGTAGAGGTGTTACAATAATTGATATTTGGTCAGTAAACACAGATTATCATAGTTGGACTTCTTGTTGTAAATCGTGGATTGCGAGTTCGAAGTGCACTATAAACAAATCCTACTTCATGGACCATGGCATATAATGTAATAAAAGTGGGAAGATTCATACATAGATTCATCGGAAAGACACATAAAATGGACTTTATTCATTCTTCAACAGGTTTTACCCTATCAGCTGCAAAAAAATGTCTGGTAAGAACTCTTTTCAACTGTACACGTAAGCTGAGCTCTGAAAAGCGAATTGAGGGAAAATTGACTTTTGTCGAACAACACTGCCTGCGCAAAAATGGTTATGCACAAAGCTTAATTGGTAAGTACGGTAGGACAAAACAGAAAAGGATCAATTGCAGTACGATTGCGAAGAAGTCCGTCTTTCTTCCTCTTGCCCTCATACGGGATGAAATCATCACAAGGGATGAACCATACATTGAGTGCTGGACTGAAGAAGGCCTATCCAACCTCCAAGATAGTTTATGTGTACTAGACTGCTCATTGAGGGCAATCCAAAGTGGTCAAGTAGTGAACTCTTGTTACCTCGAACTGTATCTACCGATCCACATGTACGTGCCAAAGTACATAACTCGGGAAAACAGAAAAAAGGGTTCTCGTTCACACTTTTAAACACATCTTATAAGTCCACAGTGTTCAAACAGTGCAGTCGCTTAGCATTTTATTGATACCGAACAAAATGTTGACTTATACCATAGTTGCGTATGAAGCTCATGATATTGGTATAATGTGTTATTTGCTAGGCTTCAGAAATTAGCAGCAGTTGTTATAACTATATCGTTGCTAATTTATTTGATTGTGGCTAGCAGAGGAACTCAGGACGCTCGTTTCGCCCTATTTTGGACTCGTCAGTTGGATGTGCCCACACCCCATTGAGTGGTGTTGTTCCCACTAAGACAGGAACCGCGTACCCGTCACGTCGAACGCCAAGGCGTTATCCACTAGACCACTAAGGCATGATAGACATCTCTTGTACAATGGGTATTCGTTATTACTGTCTACTGATATGCTTATAGTTCTCCATTGTTTTACTGGATCGAATTTTTCAGTGGCCTAGTGGATAATGCCTTGGCTTTTGAAACCATAAGGAGGAGGTTTGAGTCTCAGTGAGGATAACACCACTCACTGGGTTGCAGGTACATCCAGCTGACGAGTCCCAAGTGGGACGAAACGAGCGTCCTGGATTCCTCTGCTAGTCAAGACCAATTAAATTACCATAATTAACATTCAGGCGATGTCAAAGCATCCGCATAGGAGCCCATCTGCCAATAGAGGTCCAACTATTTGATTCAGTAAAACAACGAAGAATCACAAGCATATCAATAAGTAGTGATAACTGTGTATATTTATGTATAACTATATTAAAAGAATAACTTCCTTGGCTTTTGTAACTTCGTGAACTTATTTTTCAGGACTATATGAAAAGAGTTGCATGCATGTTTTTCAGTACTAAGATTTAAATACTGACTGACATATTTCGTCATGTGTAGTGATTTATATTTCGTTTGCAGTAAACACCACTGTTGAGCAGGGCTATTCACTTGAAGTTATCATTCAATAATTGTGTTCTAATTATACTTGTGATCAGCTAGTAAGCTTTCTATTGAAGGCGGTTAACTGCATTATCCATCTTAATAATGTTGCGCAAATAGATTTCTTCATTTCCCTCAGAACTTTATTGCTTCATGAGGTAAATAAAAAGTGAATATTTTAGGGTTTGTGGGGATTTAGAGATATTCCAAGTTGGTATTCATTGTAGACTGATGTCAGTTGAAGGAACAATGGAAACGTGAGATCACTGGACAGCTGTTTCGTCCTAGTATGGAATTATTCAAGATTGCGCACCCGCGACCTTCAGGTTCCGTGGCCAGCACGTTACCATTGAGCCACTGAGTCGGAATCCAATGGTGCATATTTCCAGCTTTTGTCAGCTCACGACATAGCACGACCACCACCAAATGTCATCGTTGAGTGTTTGTCCTCACGGCCACGGCTATGTCGTGAACTGAAAAAGTTGGAAATATGCACCATTGGGTTCCGACTCACTGGCTCAATGGTAACGTGCTTGCCACGGAACCTGAAGACCGCGGGGTCGTGGGTGCGCACTGCTGAAGAGTCTCATCACTGGGATAAAACAGCTGTCCAGTGATCCCAGGTTTCCATTGTTCCTCCAACTGACAGTAGTCTACTATGAATAAGTGTTATGTTGCCATGTATTTAAGCTTGTATAAGTGATTGCCTAGTTCTTTCTTTCACGCATACAATTCGTTGTAGTTAGATAATGGTATGGTTTTCTACTGTTAAACTTTTCTAAACATCATATCAATTAGTATTTTCTTCAAATCAGTCGACTTTGACTCTGGGTACGTCTAGCTGTTTGCCAATAGCCCCAATCTTCTCATGAAAATCAATATCCTATTTGCATGCCGGAGTACTCGACTCCCTCGTTTCTAAGTGGAAACGTGAGCTTATTATTTGCTTCATCGTAACTTGCATCACCTGTATATTAAATTTGTTATGTGGTGCAGCGTATTCCTGTGGCTGAATGCCAAGTTTTAGGTATTAGAGCGGTAAGCGCCGAGAAACAGTTTCGCTAGTAGTCCCATATGTTGTAACCACTATCTCAATTCTGTATCCCTCATAATATGGACCGTGAGTATAGCAGAATAACTAAAGATTCCTATTGCAGTCAACCAAAAATGTCATACCTCACAGAGACACAAATTTAGTTTAGTTATTCAGTTAATCTGAGTAAAATTTTATCTTATCACACGTTTGGTTGATTTCATAGGATATTTGATTCAGCACGTTATTAGCTATAACCCTCACTTTTTAGTAAGTTCGACAGAAAGTAAAGCTTGTCAACACTGGCAATTTATTGACTGCTGTTTAACGTGTGCTAGATGGAATTCTCAAACGCGAAGAATGCTGTAGTGCTGTTAATTTTCGAATAAAAAGCTCGACTAGTATTTCGATACTTGATCAGTTAGTGGTAAATAAGGTGGATTCCGTGCATACTTACTTTCATCTGTGCCTAATATTTGCTGATTCTCATACTCAGGCGTGGTACACTTTGTTGCATACTTACCCAAGATGGGTTAGCAGAAAAGTTAATTTTTAATAAGCTAATTGGTGTGACGATAATCATTGTTTAAAAAATAATTCAATTGTTCATTACATTTTACGTTCCAGAGAAGAAGTGTGGTTTATCGAAACTAATAAATCTATTTATAACAAACAACCTTTCACATTTCGAACTATTTTATTTTTACCTTGTAGGTTTCGAAAAACCGAGTTTATCTTGAAGAGCTAAACAAATCTCTACTTCAATTATATCAGCTGGTAGTTCAGGTCCGTTCTTCACAATGAAAATCATCATCAACTCTACAACTAACTGTACAGCATAATCATCAGCCGGTTGAAGTTCTTCTAATTACTTTGTATTTATAACTGTTTTTCAATACAAGTTGTTCATGCATATCTTGTTAAAATTGCTTCATTAATGTAGAAGCCCACAAAATATTTCGGCACTTCCATTTAACACACTTCACAACACAACAAATGAGGAGAGCCCCCGAGAGATTGAATACATCCATGCGGCCGAAATGCATGTTGAAGTTTATCACAGTCAGTTTTATTCTAGAGTTTATTAGCTTGAGGATTCTCACTCAAACAATCTGCACGACTCAGACGAATATTCATTTAGTTCAGGGGTTGTCGCCATTTTTTTGTGGTCTAAGATCTCAAAAGGCAAACAGGATTCTTTTTTATCCCTTCTGAGATTATATCAGCAGTCTACTTATTACGCCTGGTGCATCTTGGCGAATAGATAGTGGATATTTCATTGATATCTCAATTTATTTGAGTGACTCAGCAGCACATCAACCATTTTAATCTGAATCATTTATTCGATCGTTCCAAAAGAGAGCCTAATTTACGCTTATTTGTCCATCTCATGCATAAACAGGCGATTTACGTTTTGAAACTAGTTAGACGAGGGAATTCCCTATCTCTAGTGATCTTAAATTTCTAATCTCTTCAAAGTACATGATTGAAGATAAAGTATCCAATTATTTCTTCAGTAGTATTTCCTATAGATAAACCGATGGTAGCAAAGAAGTCATCACCAGGATTCCTTTTTCTAGGGGAATGTGAATATTCCACAGAAAACCCGCTTACTACATGGCAAGTTGCATTCTCAGTTATTATTTCTCCTTATTACTTATTGCCTACAATTTGATTTAGTTGAAGACGTCTCCGTCTCACTTAACCTAACCAGAATTTTTCCTGTCACAAGACAGA